GGTGCTACCCAGCAGAGCAGAACCCCCACAACACCGTCCTGCCGGGGACGAGCGAGGGCAGTAGTAGGGAGCCAGACAAGGCTTCCCAATTCCGAGCTCCGTGGGAAGGGACTTGAGGTCAGTCACCACCCCTAGGGCCTGGGCTGGGCATAGTCAACCCTGAGTCTACAGTGGCACCACAGACACAGGCCCAGCGCAGAGACACAGGCAGGACCAAGGTTTAGGAGCTGAGGGAAGGCTATAACCACAAGCCTGCACTTCGAGGAGAGGTTGATGAGGCTGAGACCCAACAGCAGAATACAGGAGGCCGGAGGTAGGAGTTGACACAGCAGCATGATGGCCCTCACAGCTGGGGAACGGACAGGGTGTAGGGGAGGCAGAGCCCTGGGATCAACTGCAACAAGCCAGTGAGTATTACCATCTCCGGCCCAGGGGCAAGAACACCACTAAAACCCTCCTTTCAGTTACAGTTCCATCAAGTCATGGTAGGCGAGTTGTGGGCTAGCCCAGGGAGCGGGGAGATGCTCACAACACTAACTGAGGGCACCACAAAGAGCTACTGCTTAAAGAGGTTATATGACCTCTTTGTGCAATGGTCCCAAGAAGGTCTGGAAAATGACACGCTAGTGTTATCTGCATTAAGAAAACCTTGAGTTTTCCATTAGGTAAAATTACACATCTAGCTCAAATACAAGAATAGTGCCACATTCTTCAACCAAAAAAAAAAAGTGTACCTTTACAAAAGCAAGTTATGTGCATTTCACTTGGATGCTTACTGGATAAACATACAATTCACCTAACTGCATTACACCATGCTGGTCTCAATGTTTTGCCTACTGCTTACACTGCAGTAAGCACTGGTTACCTATATAAACCACTTAATACATAGGAATTATCTGGTACTACTACTTCCTGATATACTTGTACTCTATTTAACTGCATAATTGGCAAACCTGATTAGGAACCACTTCAAGGCTTTTAAAAGCAGCTGACTTGGTCCTATCAATTTCAAGGCTGTTACTAGAGGCAGAAGGCCCTTAGAGCCAAGCTATTCTTAGTGAGGCACAAAAATATTTACCCTCTTATCTAGACTGTAGTTAAGTAGTTAGCAGGAATCCTGGTTTTCTCCAATTAAAAAACAAACAAAAAAAAAACAACCAGCCACCCAAATTCTGAGTTAAAAACAACTAACCTCAAATGCACATTTTCTGTGATCAAAATGAAACACCACTATACATATATCTATGTATTGGTGGTGTTTCATTCTAAATCATGGAAAAATGTGGATTTTGGGTTACATTTTTTAACCTGAAAATTGGGGTTGTTTTAAATCAGGGAATACCATGATCCCTGGTTATCAAGAGATCCTTTATAGAACACATAAGCATTTTTAATAGGTAAACAGTATTCTCATATATACCAGAACTGAGTCAGAGGTAAGCAATTTAGGATCTTTATCTGGCAGATGCCAAAGTCAATTCCCCAGTAATCTTGCTTAAAACTGTGAGATGAGAAGTCCTCTGAAGGAGATGCAGTGAGAATTCCACCATGATCACCTCAGCTGAATCAGTACAGAGACAGAATTCCAGAGCTGACATAACCATGATAAAAGCAGAATGGTTCCATGACATCTCTCAGCAGTAATTACTGTAGGTTCTAGTGATTTTCAAAGAAGAACCAAATTTGACAGATTAAATTTTGGCTTGGGTGGCTTTGGTTTATAACCTGAACTCCAAGGAGGTAGCCTTCATTTTAGGTGCTGCTCCTGATTTGGCTTTTAATTCCTCATGAATAAGGGATCAAGAAGAGCCAACCCCAACAAAAGGATAAGGATATAATGATGGGATTAGGTGTCAAAGAATCGCATGACAGATGCCATGATGGGAAATGATGCAGAGCAGACTGATTTAAGAAAAAGAACTACATTAAAGATTTCTGGAATCTCTAATAGTTTAGACTCATACCTTTCAACGTAAAATAAGAGCATACAGGATACCAGGAAGGAGTGGAACCATGTACTTCAGTCCTTTTAGTAAGCTAAAAAAGGAAGAGCTCTGAACGGTAACAGAGACTGCCCACAGGCAAGGCAGATGAGTCACAGCACCACATCAAAAACAGGCAGTTTGGGGGGAGGTGAACAGAAAGGGGACACAGGAGCAGCAAGATCAGGATCAGGTGTGGTACCTGGTAAGGAAACTGACTAGAGTCTGTTGGCAACAGGGGTGTTCCTCTATGCTTTAGCACTAAGGATTGTATCTATATATAGATGCATGCTTCAGTATCCAGGAATTGTCACTGATGTGACTACTAGTTTTTGCTGCTGGCAATAATTATATAACTCCTTGATACTGGGAAGCTTGTTGTCCTAGCTTTCTCATGGTGAGGGTTGGAAATCAAGCCTGGGGTTGAGGTTTAATTTTCTTTTTCAATTTGGAGATTCTCTTTTGAGGTATAAGGAATCTGGAATTGTTTCTGGCCCAGACTCAGCATCTCCTCAGCACTAAACTCCATTTTTTATCTTGGAGCCAGAAAATGAGGCACCTGAACTGGCTCAAACTCTAGATCCATTGAAAAGATTTGAATGGATTCACCAGGATGGAATGGGATCTAAATCCACAATTTTTTTTGGAGTTAAACTTTACTTTAACTCCAAAGGGCTCCACCTTTCCCCTAAAGGTAAGCGTGTGTTCTCTT